AAATAGACTAGGCCCCAAAATAAAATACAATTCTGAATTCCACAACTAATGAGTGGCACCAGCCTACAGCTCTCAGGAATCCAAGGAGAAGAGCCAAGTGCAGCAATGAGAATAGAAGGGCAAACATAAAAGAATACTAGGAAATGAAATGTGTTCTGAAAATGTCAAAGCACTATAAACTATGAGACTATAAAATGAATGTTTCAAGCTTCCCTCCATCCATAGTGCCTTGGCACTGAACGCTCCCTCTATCTCCTCACCATATCTGAAGCCTGGCTCTCCCCTGCAATGGACTCTCTTCCTTTCAAGCCTCTTCAATAAAGGTCTCACTCACTCTTCTTAACATCTGCATACCTCAAAGAGAGCAAAGACTTTGCAACACCTAGGATAAGAAAACCTTTTGGTGGGGAAGTGGAGTGAGCCGTCTTCCCCACTTACTATTTCACTGCTCCTCCTTTAAGACTCAAGCCATCTACTCCCGTCTATCAACTTTTTAGTCCCTCACAGATTCCCTGAAAACCTTGACCCTTAAATGACAGTTTCACTTGCCATGCCATGTCTTAGGAGATTTCAAAATCCAGTTGGACTGATTGAGCTGACTCCCTTATCCCATAATTTATTACTGTGACCACATCTCAAGAACTTTATCTACATTAAACTTAAGCGACTAATTCCTATGGCGACATCCTAGATCAGGTGTGCATATCATAATCCCCTGGAGAGCTTGTTAAAGCACTGATTGCCCAACCCCCTGACTTTCTGGTTCAGAAGGTCAGGGACAGGGCCTAAGAACTTGCATTTCTAACTAAAGTTCTCTGGTGGTATTACTGGTCCTGACACCAACTCTAAGAACCATAAGCCTAGATCTTTTCATTAGCCAGAAACGGTTAACATTCAAAACATCCTAATTCTGATAGCCCTTCTAAAATTCAAACTTCTGCTCTTTTAGACATCACTCCCAATAAACCTGCTATTCAATCATGGAGCTGCTCAAAAATCCATCTACTTGTTTTTGGTGGACAATTGTTTTCATCCTGTGTTTCTGCTACTCGAAATGCTGACCACTTTCCTCAAGGCTCTACACACCCTCCACCATCCTCACTCTCAACAAATGACCTCAACTCGTAACACAGAAAGCAGAAGTCAGGAA